CATACATTTAAATAGCTCAACAACACACAGCACAGAGAAATTGACTCACATCTGGACATAATATGCTCTCTCCTCTCCTCAGAAAAGGTATAAACAATTTGGATTTAAAGCCTATTATATTATATTATATAAAAACGTCACCACATAATATTCTTAAGGGTGTATAATAATTTTACAAAAGAAAGGACTTTGTACTTTGTATGTTTAACACATAGTGGCAATAGTGTTGTTATATGCCACACCTGTCTTGTTTTTCATTTTCAAACTGATCAACACTAACAACACATTGTTCAAAGTCAGACATAATAAAAATGTCAAGAAAAATAAGCTTAAATAGAGAAATGAAAATCACAATGTTATTTACAGTGCATGATAAATCTGGTATTCCATTCCCACAGAAGACTATTTAGCTCTTATATTTTGGTTTCTGATAAACGAATAGTTTGGATATTTAAGGAAAACAAGCCCTTTTTTTAGTCCACTTTTAAACACTTCTCCCAAATGAAAACATATTTACAGAGCCCCGTACATGACTGCGGAGAAATATGTATCGAGGGAGGCCACAAATTTTGTTCTCTCGTTTTAGTTTAATTGTGGCCACATATTAAGAATTCATTCCCATCACGACTTACTAATTCGTTCCCTCATTTAAGTAAATCGTGGCCGCGTTGAACTAATTTGTTCCCTCGTTTTGGTTTAACTAAACCAAGGGAAAGAATTATTACAAGGTGGCCACGATAAGGAACTAATTAGTAAAATGTGCAGATGTATTAGTAAGTCCTGGGAACCAATTATTAATTCGTGCAAACGATTTAGCCTACATATATTTCCCCCGCATATCATGTGCGGGGCTCCGTACATATTCAATACTGATTTAACAAAATGTAGCTTTTAGTTTTGCTATTGCTTGTACAGTCTACATAAACGCCTGCCTTTGTGCAGTTTTTCCCTCTTTTCTTAGAGCCAAGTGAGCCGGACGCAGCACTAGGGGAACAAGGACACATTCGTTTAGGTGAAATATTATGTTGCGCTGTAGATTTCTCCCTACAAAGGTGGAAAAAAGCAATGCATCTAATCTATGTTTTACAATAGGCTGCTGTGATTTCACACTCATGGGAGAACGGTGTGTCTGAAGAGGCAGCCGCAACAGCTATGGTAATAGACTGAGCAGAACGGCTGTGCCACGCGCCTGGCTGGCCTAGTGTATCTCCAAATGAGATCAGTGGTTATTGACTCAATGCTGTTATCTTTAATCTGTGGAGTAAATTACTTTGGATGCTGCCTCTCTACCCTGGTTTCTTTCCCCTTCTTCTATAACTCCACCCTTACAATTCCATTTGAGGGGTGCATGCTGCTATTTACTGGGGGTGTGCGCGTGTGTGTGTGTGTGTGTGAGACACGAGGACATGATCAACGCCCAGAGGAACCAGGAAACGAGGGAGGCCCTATTTTACTGGGAGGATTACTGCCACCCCCAACTCTTCCTTTCTCATTCTTCTTCTCTCTCTTCTCTAAAGGCCTGGCATGTCTTATCACAGGTCCTGTATAAAGTGCTGGGCCTCGGGGGGGAATGTCACCTTGGGGGAAAATCTCTCACCTTATAGTGCACAAGTGCTTCTCCATTGAGAAAAGAACGTTAGGCTGGATCTTCTTGAAAATAGATCACTAGACTTTCAAGCCTTATTCCACATTTTACAAAAAGATACAACTCATTTATTATGTTAACTATATTTCTATTGTATTTATAAAAACGAAATACATACAAACGTTTAAAGGGTTGGGATCAGTATTATTTAAAAAAAGAAAGAAATTAATACTTTTATTCAGCAAGTATGCATTAAATTGTGTCAGTAAAGGCATTTATAAAGTTTTAAATAAATGCTATTCTTTTGAACAAAAAATATTAAGCAGCACAACTGTTTTCAACATTGATAATAAGAAATGGTCTTGAGTGACAAATCAGCATATTAGAATGATTTCTGAAGGGTCATGTGACACTGAAGACTGGAGTAATGATGCTGAAATTCAGTTTTGCCATCACAGGAATAAATAAAAATAGAAAACAGTTATTTTACATTGTAATAATATTTCACAATATTACAGTTTTTTACTGTTTTTTTTTATTAAATAAAAGCTTTGATGAGCATAAGAGCTCTTTTAAAAATCGTACCGATCCCAAACTTTTGAACACATTTTTTATGTGTGTGCAAATATATATATTTTTTTTTTAAATTGATTAGAGAAGTTTCTTGTTCAATGAGAAGTTGTCTGACTCTATATGAAGAGTATGTTTGTCTTTTTCCTAATTGTTTCCCTGCACAATATCTTAAATCATCCCGCTCCTATTGGGAACTCTTAGCCTGGCCTGTCCTCCACATACATTTTAGACTTGACTAAAAATGTCCCGAAGATCTATGACTAGGTCGCATACTCTCAGCGCTTAACACGTAACTCAACAGCAAATCAATACTGGAACATGTTGTTTAGAACATCATAAGAGGAACTCTCTGCAAAGGGAGCAGATTCCCAGTTGGTAGTGGGATGTCTTTTTATTTTAAATGTATCAATCCCTATAGTCTGATACCTGGTATATCCCTGTATCTTTGTTAGTTAAAATTTTCAATTCAAAATGATTTTCAAGCGGACTGCGTCTTCCATATTAACATAAGCGTGATGGAGATTTGAGCAACGAGCAGTAATTGCTCCCCCTGTCATCTCTGTTGCAGTGGGATTCTGGACATCTCATCAGCTAGAGGGTGCAATAGACCGTGTAGTGGGGAAGTGTTCTCTCTTTCCACATTACCGCACTGTGTTTATTTACAGAATGCCTTCTGAGCAGCAGAAGCGGCCTTGATTAAGTGTACGCTCTTTATGTGACACCTAACAGATTAAAACTGAAGGAAACCTTGCTGAGGGCATTCCTTCATGAATATTTGCTTTTGCTTTGAAAAAGGCAGACATATTTGCACACAGGTTTAGTTAAAAATATGAATTGTAAGCAAACATCAACATTATATCATACATGTACTATGCTCTAAGATTATTTCATTGTTAGATATTTTGCTATTATTGCCTGTAAATAATAAGTAGATTTGCGTATGAGAAAATGTAACCAGATTTGTTGATTTTATGGGTTTGTTGAAATAAAAACCTAATTATTATTATTATTATTATGGTAACACTTTACAAGTTTTCATTTCTCAATATTAGTTAAATTAACTAACATGAACTAACAATGAGAAATATATTTTTTGCTGCATATATTAACCTTAGTTAATGTTCACTTTAGTTCCCAGTGCAGTGACTAATATTAACAGATACAACTTTTGATCCTAAAAATGTAATAGTAAATGTTAAGATTATCATTAATAGAGATCAATAAATGCTGTAGTGCATGTTAACTTATGCAGTAAAGTAATGTTAACAAACGAAACCTTATTGTAAAGTGTTACCATAATAATGATAATAATAATAATAATAAATATAGCTGCAAGCAGCAAGTATCGGGGCCAAGCACAAAGAACACGGTAAAACATGGCAACATGACTGGGAGCATCAGACCAACTGGCAAACCATTTAGGCAAAATGGCTGAAAAATCCTTAGTACAGTCCCTAGTAATATGATTGAATGGTTTATCACTTTTGACCAGTAGGTGGCGCTGTTATGAAATTGATGTGAGGTGACACAAAGTTTGGTGTCAATATGCCAAAGCATTGCAGAGATACAGACTCAGAGTCTTTTTGGCCAATATGCCTCAAATTTCAGATGATTTTTGTGAAAATCGGACAAACGGTCTAGGAGAAGTTTGAAAAAGTAGGTTTTGAAAGAAAATCATAATGGCGGACAGGAAGTTATGCAGACTATTGGTATAAGTTTGATTACAATAGGCTAAATTAATTCAAAGTTATTAGCATTTTTGGAAATTTCATAAAGGCCAAAAATGAGAAAATTAGGTATTGTTCGACTCAGCAAATTTTAACTCAAAATGGCGGTGACAGAATCATCTTGAGCCAAGGAATCAAAGAAAAAACTAATTTTGTTTCTAGCCCTTACAGTTCAAAAGTTATTAGCATAAATGTGAGTGCAACTTTGGACAGTTGGTGGCGCTGGAGTTTTTGAGGATTGCTATAGTGACATTACAGACTGTCCTCTATCTATGTGCTTAATTTCATAAGCGGTTCTGTGGGCTGCCACAGACTCAAGAGCAGAAGAAGAAGAAACGGAAGAATAATAAGAAAGCCAATGATTACAATAGGTGCCTATGCTCCTTCGGTGCTCGTCCCCTAACGATTTGTGGGGGAAATAAACGACCAAAATAATACTAAATTCCCATAAAATGTATTTTAAGTCCATCTGTGGCAATAGAATACTTTTATATATATATTTTTTTACCAAACTTTAAAAAAATCTTGACATCAATCTCCCCAAATGACATAGTTGCAATTATACAGACAATAAATTCATTGAGTTATATAACAGTACGTCAAAGTGAAAGAGGGTGTGAGTGACAGAGAATTACTTGAAAATCTTCATGATGGGTCCATGTAGCTAACTATCATTTTAAACACTACTGCAATATAGTTTTGGTAAACAATCATAGACTCCATAAGAGATTTGTAAATGAATGTTCCCCATTGATATTTACTGGAGAAAAAATAGTAAGGCTATATTAGTTTACAGATAGCATAAGCAAACCTTAGAGGTTTTCTTTTCTCATTGTAATGAATAGCAGTCATCGTCACTTCTAATAAGTGGGTGTTCAGTGGGGCCTTTAATGCAAAGACTGCAAATATACGTGTGCGAGTCTAGCAGTGCTGTTGTTTTGCTCAAGTTGCTCATTGCTGTGCCATTTAGTCAGGCAAATAAACTCACTTCCTGGCCCACTCCCTGTCCACATAAATCAGCTGAGCTCATGGCCATAAATCTACACCGCGACTAAATGAGAAAACTCATTGGACAGCCCCCCCCCCTCCCCCTCCTCTCTGTCACTCAGCCCCTCCCCTCCCGGACCACACATTTCAATACAAACAAAACAGATTCCAAATCAATAGCCAAGCAACAGAAATGCTGGATAACCGCAGGATGATAAGCAGAGCTTTAGCCCAAATGTGACTGTTCGGGGTAGGTTCGCGCTTTGCAAACCTTGAAGGTGGAGGTGGGTGGGTTGTTTGTTTGTGTTTGCTTTCTTTTGTTTGTTTGTTTGTTTTTTTGTTTGTTTGGTCGGGGGATTGATTCTCTCTCTAGTAGGGTGTGAAGCGACTGTAACCTCCTCTGTAAAGGCTAGCCTGCAACATCAAAGATGAAAAAACAAAAAGGACCCAATCAGTGTTAAATAGATTCTTTGGGGTGAACAGTTCTTGAAATTTTCTTCCCTTTCGTAAGGAAATTACAGTGTGAATTTCAGGGCGGGTCGGTGTCAGAGTTCAGAGTTTCGCGGTTAAACCGGGTTGCGACTGAAACAGGCCGCTGAATCCTGCTGGTGTATTTCATCAGCCTCTGCCCCATAGGTTGATCTGATTGGAGACATCTAACATGCGCTGCTTTCTCAGACCTCTCTTTAACCGGACTGCAGTAGTGCCTATTAACTCTTGCCAAATACAAAAAACTTCAAAGGCTCTATGGGCCGTTCTCCTCAGCTCCGACCCTGTGCTAAACACACACGCCTTAAACGTGGAATGAATTCTGTTCTAACAGAGAGCAAAGGAAACTAACTTTTTTCTTACCCTCTGAGGGGCTCATTATTAAATACTCTTAACTTGTGATCTGCTGGTCAAATATGATTTAATGATATTCATTTCATTCTCAGCAGGCTCAGTGCAAGTACTGAGAGGAGTTCTGCTCATTTGAGTCGCAACCGGTTCGGTCCTGGCATCACTGAGAACTCTGAGTGCTCACCTCGGCCCCCCAGCGGGCCTCGTTCGACCGGAGGATATTTGCTATGCCTTAAAGTGGCAAATTGAAGTCTTGAGAAAGGGAGGAAAATTTGAAAAAAAAAGAAAGGAAAAAGGAGGCAAAAAAGCAACACAGGCCACAGTTTTAATTAAGTAAATGAAGAGGAAAAAATGGTCTTAATTAATGAAAGCTTTTAGCTAGCAGCTGCACCGGGGAATAGTACGGTTTTGAGAATCACACGGATGTCGACTTGGTAAATTCCAGTCATTTGTCTTAGGCAGAGTGTTTGTCCAATAAGCCTCATGGGCAGGGGGAGGTGGGTGCGATGGAATCTTTTTTTTTTCTCTTTCTTTTTTTCCTGTCGTTCTCCCTCTATCTCTCGCCTTTTCTTTAATCTCCCTCGGCACGCTGCTGCACGAGCTTGATGGTCGTTAATCTTGAGAAAAGTCCCGACCAACAGCCGCAAAAAAAACAAATCATAAAGAGTTTTCTCTTTTTGTGTTCAGATAGGAGTTTTAGAATTTTTCATCTTTGATGTTAGCTGCAAAAGCTAGCTAAAAACAAACATTAACAGGACGACGATCCCCACATCAGATTGAGAATGCTGATATGCATTTGGAAGGTCTAATCAAGTGTCAGTATGCTGGGTTACCCATTGCATTTAATGAGATACAAAATGCTCAGGATCCATCTTGAAAAACTGTCACATACACATATATCAGCTGATGAGTCTCAGAATATGTGAACACATATCTACACTCTTGACATTATTAATGCAGATGCAAACAGGGTCCAAAATTAACACTTTCCAAGCGCCAAATGTGAGCACATGAACAAATGGCTTTGGCGAGTAAATAAAACACTTTGTCAGTTGGCCGGTTGCAATATTACTTGGTTTTATCTGTATGAATAATTGCTGATGTGGCTGAGGTGAGAGATTAAAATAAAAAATAAAATCTCTCTAATCTACTAAAGAAAATATCTTTTGCGACTTGTGCATAGTCTTAAATATTTTCCTCAGTAAAAATGTATCAGACGATCTGTTTTTTGTTCTCCAGAGCTAACAAAAATATGAGGAACAAAATCACATTGTATGTATTTTTAATGATTCATTCATCAATCTATCTATCTAGCGTTCTATATAAATGTGTAAATAAAGCAAAATACAAGTGTAGGGCTTGTAAATTTATGGCTGGTAATTTTGGACCCTGAATATGTTCATGTACAATATTTAAGAATTCAGTCACCCCAACTACATATCTCCAAGCTCACCGCACATGCTTCATTTACCATTCGCTTCATAATATTTACAATCATTCTACTCATAATTCAAATAAATTGAACAGAATGCACAACGATATCTTTCAGCATTATTACGGTTGCACTGGGCTCTGCCTTGTATGTTGTTGGGGTGCTCGGGTCTGTGTAACGTTAGGACATGTATTAATGTTTCATGACTCACCATAGTGCCCACGCTGTACGTGGCTGCAGGTCCAATCGTGTGGTGATAAGGGTCTGCTGTTGCATAGACTCTGCCATAGCTACAGGGAAAGGAAGAAACGGAGGGAGCATTGAAGCTTCGAGAAGATGGGATGCTCCAGTGAATGCTGTTCATTTGAACTAGATCCATTATCACTACACCCTTCCTCCCTCTCTCTTGCCCTCTCTTTCTTCCTGTCTGATAAAAATGCAATCACTGGCTTGCCATAAATACACAGTATAAAGGTAAGAGTGTGTTAAAAGTGATAGGTGCTCTGTTATTGTTTTGGAGTAAAAGTATTTTTATCTTATGAGCATGTGGTAAAACAATGATATTGGTCAGAGAGGGACAAGACACAAAAGAAACGTGGAAAAGAGAAAAGTAGAAACAGGAAACAGAAATGAACAGCAGAACTGCAGGGTCCTTTCTACCATGCAGTACATTTTAATGTCACCATCATAAGTCGGAAAATCATGTTAGTTTTTTTTTATCATTTTTTTTTTTTTTTAAGAAATCTTCCAGGTGTTTCTTTATTTTCATCATTCCTCTAATCAAAATGTTTCAGAAAAAAACATGGTGTAATTGTTTTTCCTGTTCTCAAAATCCCTTTCCATGTTAGAATTTGTAAAATACCTTTAACTCACAAAAGCCAGAAATTTCCTTCAGAAATATGTATGATAATCTTAAAAGTTGGTTAAAATATAATTTTTTTAAAAACACACTGCATGTAAGCTAACTCTTAGTCCCTCACTAAGCAATGGCTAACATCAGCCCTTTATTTACATCCTGTTAGGAATCCTGTTTTTTTTCATGCTACTGTGTAAATAATCAAATTTGAATAAATAAATAAAATGAATGGCAAACCATTTTATAGAATTACGTCCTTAAATGACAACATTAGCAAATTCATTTTAAAAGTTACAAAGTTCTAAAGGTACTGCGAACAGGAAAGACCCAGCAAGCAAAGAGATGCATGGATGCTTTGGATTTTGTGTTGTTGTGCGTGTGCATTAAAAAAGCGAGTGAAGGAGGCAGAGAGTTTATGTTCACAGCTCTCTTTATCCTTTTCATGCTCCTTTGCCCTCTCTTGTTTACCCAGGCTGCTCTGTAAAGAGGCACAGGGCTGGTGGCGGCGGTGGCGTTCTCTGACTCTTTTCATTGGTACCGATTTGGAACTAATTCCTCCAAGATGGGCCTTACTTCTTTCTTTATTTATTTATTAACCCCCAACACTTCCCTTCTTCATTTGTTGACTTTCCCTACAAACACACGCTTGCAAATGAGGGCCTGCAGGGAGCAGATAAGGCAGGCCGAGCCGGGTGCCGAGGGCACAGACTGAGCGAGGAGAAAAGAGAAGAGACGGGGAAAATCCTGGGCCCAGACATGCTATTACATATGGAAATACTATCGGATCTGACCAGGTTTTTGTCGTCCGGGATTATTACAACATCAAAGGTCAGGCCAGCTCAGTGGAGTGAGAGAGCTGAGCGGAGGGGATTTTAACTGCTTGTGACAGACAGTGCAGACGAGGGCGGCTGGGAATCCCCGTAACACTCCAGCCGGGCCGGGCTACTTAACCTGCATCTTAACCAGGCAGCGGGAATTACCCCATCCAAAGTTAACCTGGATAGCCAGTTCTAGCCATATTCAAAAAGGGATTCTTGGGCTGTAGAGTGAGGCCTTTGGGCTGTATTTTTCTCACCTCAAACGTGGTCTCCACTCGATAATTAAGGGATAGTTCACCCCAAAATGAAAATTCTGTCTTCAATTAATAACCCCTCTGTGACTTACTTTCTTCTTTGGGACACAAAGACAATTTTTTGTATGGACAAAAAAAACCCCCAGAGGTTTCTCAAAATATCTTCTTTTCATGTTCAACATAAGAAAAAGTCATACAGGCTTGAAACAACATGAGATAAACCAAGAATTGATCATTTCATTTGCCATTCCAAACCTGTATGACTTATGACTAACACAAAGACATTTTGAAAAAAATGTTTTGCCACACAATGAAAGTCAATAAGGCCTAATGTTTTGGACCCCATTGACTTTCATTGCATTGACAACAAGAGTTAAAAAACATCTCAGAATATAATTTTTATGTTGTACAGAAGAAAGTAAGTCATGAGAGTAAATGACGCTCTTTAAAGAGGCTAGTTCAAAAGTCTGTGACATTTAAACACTCACTTTTAAACCCCCTTCGCCATGACATATCAAATTAGAGTGCAAAACGCAGAGCTGGCTTATGTGAAAGCAAGGAGTTGAACGACAAGTGATGCAGAAAGAGGTGGAGAGAGAAAAAGAGAGCTGGAGTGAAAGAGGGGACGCAGGAAGGGGGCTGAAATAAGCGCGGTGGAATGCCAGTCTTGTCACCTGCTCTGATGTGGATCTGTGCTTGGCTCTGATAAATCTTACATTATCTGGGCTCTTCAGGCTGGCAGGCAGGGCCGTGCCTTATCGGCACTGACACGCTCAATCTTGCCTAGATTAAACCAGTGCCTGGCCTGATCCAACCTGACAGGGTCCCCACAGGTCCTGGATAAATTACTGACAACCCTGCACCACCTTCGTCTTCACGCACACACATACACTCAACCCTGTGGCCTGAAGTGAGTAAGCTAAGTGGTTACAGAAATTCAGGTTGAATTCAAGTTTAAAGGGTGAGAGTTTATCAAAGATAGGCAAGGGGTGTCTAAATGATCTCATTTAAGCCAGTTTAATGAGAGAGCACATCTGTAAACTCAAACCGGACTTTCAGAGCTGAGGAAACACTTTCCAGAAGTACTTCGGATGGATAAGCAATGGATAAGATTATTCTCTTAAACCAGAGAAGGAGATTTTTTATCTTAATTGTAATTTATCAAATAATGATGTAGGACACTATGAAGCAGCTTCATAATTGCAAATTTTGATGTATTGACATTTTCTATTGAAACCGGAAGTTGGGGCAGGGTAATTAAAAAGCATTTAAAAAAAAAAAAGTTTATCCCAAGGTTTTTTGATGCCACCGAACCCCAAGACCATCTATTGTAACTTTGCTGTTTAAAATATAAAGAAATATCTAAATCTAAATGTCTAAAATTCTTAAATAATTATAACAAAGGCTGTCTTTAAAAGCAGAATTATTGGTAGAAAAGTAAAAACAAACAAACATTACATTTGTCAAGTTAACTTTGACAGCCATAAAAATACATTTTGTAAAATTGATAGGGCCAGATTTACTAACAGCTTGTGCCAGCGCAAACCCTCATTTGGCGTTAAAAAACGACTGTTAAGATTTACTAAAGACACGCAGTGAAAAATGAACGCTGAAACGGCGTGGACATTATTATTGCATATGCAATTTAAACGAATCATGATTTACTAAGGTTTGTGCTAATTAAATTTACTGGTATTTGCGCCATTATTTACCGCCTAAAAAAAGCATGTCTTCAAGCAGACGCTAGCTGCAGAACTTTCCACTCCCATCGGCGCTTTTTTGGAATTGCGCTCTCGCGGTAATCTGGCCCTTAATTCCTCTCAACTTTAAACCAAACAGGAAGTGCTGCTGGACTCTTACCTGTCACTGTAGGCCGCTGCAGCTGCTGCGGCTGGTTGGGCATATCTGTATGCTGCATAGCCACCCTGTCAATCACATAAGGGCATCCGTCAGACAAATGCAAACAGCAGAACATGGGTGACATGAAATTTTAGAACCACAATACAACTGGACTGTTCATACATTAACAATGCAGTGAATCCCAAAAGCTCAGTTACAACCTTAAGAGTGCTGCTGAAAAGGCCTGTCAATGCTCACTAAAATCAGCGCTGAGTGATTTAGGTGGTATTTAGTTTGCCAATACAGCTTTTTGTGAAGCCTTTTTGTTTAATGGGGAATTGTCAGATTGACTGCATTAGCTCTTCATATAGATCTCGGCACAGATGCTTAACAGCCCAAGTCCGAAAGCGAACCATCTGAGCGTCTTCACTTATCTAAGCTGAGTGCAGCAATAGTGGTGCAACCAACGGCTTGTCTTTCCAGAGCGCATCAATCCCATCAATTGAAATGGCAGGGCCGGGCAACTATCGATCAGCATGGTAAGTGGCAATCTGGTATAAACAATTAAAATCAGTCAATGTTTGCTTACTGCGAATGAACCAAATGGAAGATTTGGCTGAAGCTATTGAAGGGGCCTTTTAATTAATGTGGCTGGCCAATACGAGTCCCCTGGCTCGGTGCCCAGGGGAGCGGTCTTGACACACACAACGTGCTCATCCGTGGCTGGAGAACGGCACAAGACAACACTAAATATTGCTTGTATAAGCATTAGATGACATCTGACAAAGCTATTAATTGCTCCATTCAAGCTAGCTATTAATAGTCGAGTTGTACGCGGCATCAGACATTAGTCGAGATGGTTAGCTGCAACAACCGAGCGCTGTCTACTAGTCTTCTCCGGGTGATGTTTTGTGAACGCTTACACTACAAACATGCCAAGCTTTAAACAACAGGGAATGTATTTGCTGGCTGCAAGCGAGTATCTAAGTGGCTGGGGTGTTTATTGAACTGTCTGTTTTAATGAAACGCAGCTCCGCTCTTTGTGATTTTAGCTCGCTGACATCACTGGTACATTATGTGAATAATCGCGGTGCCAGAGCGCGTGCAGGACTGAGGCATCGCAGATACAGGACTGCACGCTGAATTATAGATGCTCTCATTTATTTTTCAGCTCGGGATTAATGTCCAATGCTCCTCTGCTAAGATCAAATGTTTAGCTACTGGAGTTGAAGAAAAATCAGGTCATAGAAAAGTGTGTACATGGATTCCCGTAGAAGTTACAGATTCTTAATTCCGGTGGTTTCACCAACTCCCCACACAGATGGATTTAAATGGATAGATAAACCACATATGATATTATTCATGTAATTATTGACTCACCTTCACGTCCTTCCAAACACGTATGCTGCTGTGTGCTTGTTTGTGGAACGTGAAAAAGATTATTTTTCCATACAATGACAGTTTATAATGACCACCATAAAATCTCGAGCTTGACATCATGGCATTAAGTTACGAGACACTACATGTTGGAATAAAAGTATTAATTTCTTTAAAAAAATCATTTGATCCAAATCATTTGAGTAAATATATTGAACATGAGTCTTAAAGACTACTTTAACCGTGCTTTTTTAGAGCTTGATAGAGCCTGGTCACTATAAAACTGTTATTGTATGTGTGAAGAAAAGCTATATAGAGAAGATTTATTTAAAAATCAGCATACAGGTTTGGAACGACATGAGAGTGAGAAAACACTGACAGTAATTATTGAGAGAATCATAATTTGTTGTGCCAACAATTCCTATATAAGTTATCTTGCTTTCAGGCTACTCAAAAGTTGATCGGGTAGTCCGTAGAGGCAGATTCTGACTTCACTGGCAAATGAACACGTGTTACATGCATTCATCAAAATCCGTTCGACTGTAATCTATCTGGGGTTAAAGCCCCGGTCCTGGCTAATTTGGTGGCAATCATACTATTGTGCATGCCAGGTAAAGGCATCACGATTACGTCCATGTTCATTTGTCCTGTTTCAGATCTAAATGATGAATTAATTTCCATTTTTCATGCAGTGAAATAATCCCGGGAAAGGGAGGCACGCTCTCTGATCACCTGACAGACTAATACGTTCTGACGGCCTGTCAAAAACAATAGGGCCTGGGCACAATCTCGGGCTGTAGAGTGAGGCCTTTGGGCTGTATTTTAATGGAAGCTGAGGGAAAGGCGGATCAAACGCGCGCCATAAATTAAAACAAAAACACTGTAACGTCGACTTCATCAACTTGATCCGGCGTGATTTTCCTCCCACTTAGAGCGAAACCAGGCCGCAGAGGAGATAAAATGTGGAAGAATGAGACGTTAAGTGCGTAGGGGGGTTTGTTTTTGGTTCAATCCACACTGTACATGTTAGCATTATCATACAATCCATTGAGATCAACTACAGTCTTCAAAGGAAGACGGTTTAGCCGTGTGTGATTTCATTGTTCCATGTAGTGGAATGCACAGGGGAACCCAAAAAGGTATTTAGTACACTACAAACTGCCATCCTAGTGGATTTGCACATGGTGACCTGAGCTGACCCTTGCCCTTATGAAAGATTCAGCACCAGCTGCTTAGGTTAGGCTCAGCGAACTCAACGTTGCATACAAACTTTCCTTAATTTACTGAAACAGTGGGAATAGCAGCAGAATGGGCAAAACCGAGTATACTCACATAGATCTCAGCACCGTAGAAGCCATCTTGGTAAACCACACTGCAAAAACCCAACAAGAAATAACAAAACACAACACATCAGTGCTGAACGTCCATTGAGTTTCCTCGCAGTGTACAGAGAAGGAAATAAATTATGCAGCGATCCATTCATTCAGCAGACAAAACAATGCACTCCAGACAGTGAGGAAAGGAAAAAAATAGAGCAGATTTGGAAAGACGGCCATTTTCTGTGCTTAGAGGAAAACAATGTTGCTTTATAATGGGCTATGCTCTGTCTTGTCACTGGGGAAAACTGGTAGGGCTCGCCATTAGAGTGTAACGCACTTTATAGCCATCAAGCGGTCATGTTGCAGGTTAAGGCTGTAGCACATATAATGCGAAAATGACCCTTTTATGACAGTGCTTTAAAGTGCAGAAGTTTACCTAATAATGGCCTCAGGCTTGGACAAAAACAAGGTGAGCTATTTGTCGATACTGTATGTGTATGTTTTGGGTGAAGGGTTACTCACGCTCCATAAGCGGGAATGGGAGGGGGTGGAGGCGCGGCACGGAACGTGTTGTAGACGGCACGACCTCTGCCTCTCAAGTGGGCGCCCCTGTAAGCCACTGTCGCCCCTGTGGTTGGATAGGGGAAACCTGTCACTGGAAGAAAGGAGAGAAGAAAGGTGGTGACATAAGCTTTTGCTTCTAAGAGGCGCACCTGTCACCACCAATCGGCTTTCAGTCGGTAGTGTGACAACGCACTGTCATCCTAAAATGTGATGCTTTAAAACAACTCAGACGGATGTCAACCGGTGCGTCATGTTGGCACAAAACATCAAACATGGCAGCATGTTACAGCCAGTGATTCTCAAATTGTTTTGCTTCAGGACCCAGATTTGTGTGCAACCCGATACATTTCAAAATGTGTACAAACGTAAAACCAAAATGTCCTTCAAACTCAAAAGTGATATTTATTAAAGGTGCACTGTGGAATTCTGGGCTGTCTGTCAACATCAACAACAAGTTACTTGTGGAGCAACTGATGGACTGATATTTAAATTCTGTCTGATACGATAACACCAATAATTATTTTCATGTTATTGCAGATAATCTGTAAATTATCGATATTAAAATAATATTAAAATATATTAAATTACATATTAAATATGAAAACCCTAAAAACTAAAATATATTAATTGAAATGCTCTGTGAATGCTCTGCTAGTGAATTTAGGCATCACAACATTTAGAGACAGGCTTAATTTTACATTAAAATCTTGTGAAATATTAAAGGAGCTGTATGTAAGATTGTGGCCAAAACTGGTACTGCAATCACTTTCAAATTACTGTAGAGCGGTGTATCCCCCTCCCCCTCCCCCCTGACTCGAGGTTGCCAGATAGGCTGCAGGATCCAGCAGGAACATAGGCTGCTACAAGGAGCTTTCAACTAGAGCAGAGCTGGCAACCCGGATGCCGAAACACTACTGACTTCGTGATTGGTAGATAGGTGGAGGGTGGGGTTTCTGGCCAAAACACAAGATGACAACATCAACATCAGTTGAGGGCTGCAACTTTACTTTTTAAATGACAATATCGTGGCCGTACTACTGTTGTCAGTGATATAAGTATTTGAAATGAACATGATTTCTTAATGTCTAGAGACACATCAGGGCCATTTTATGATTAATTGAAATACATTTCTTACATACAGCTCCTTTAATATTTGTGTTTTTGAAGATTAACCTTCGTGAGCATAAGATGACGGCAAAGGTCATCTAAATGTAAAAAAAAAAAATAAATAAGCATGCACAATTAAAATGTAAAAAAAAACTTCTAAAATTGGCTCACCACCATTGTGCATCCCATTTACTGACTCAATAATTGATTTCTCATGAAAAAAATGACATGAGAAATCCTCTATAGTGTACATTCGAGCATAAACTACCACACCAATTGAGAAGCAATAAACTAAACTAAACTTTTTTCCAGCTGAATATTTACCATTAATCTTAGAGAGCGAAACGGTAAGGCAAACCCTGTCTGGGGAAGCCTCTCTATTGTGGGTATCTCTGAACGCTTGTGCGTGTGGGGTGTGTGTGTGAGTGTCTGGCTGCTCTCACACTCTGGAGGGGTGTGTGCGAGGCAGGGGAGATGGTAGGTTGTTGTAGGTGAGACACAAGGTTCTGGCACACAGGGTTGAGAGAGCAGATGGAGAGGATTGTTTAGAGATGCAATCACAGGCTGGCGCCATCCCTCATCTCTCTCCCCCCACACACACTTCCCCAGCCTCACGCCACCGCTGGGGCCAGACCCAGCCTGGAGGAGAACAGGGACAACTCAGGGTCAAGACTGGGAGAGGTGGCAGAGTTGAGAGAGAGACTGAGGCTTTATGCATGTTAAGGAAAGATACACGGACGTGAAAGTGAAACAGACAGAATGAAACTTGAAACAGCATGTGTAACAATAAATGGGTGAAAACATGTCCAGGTCACATTTCACACAGTCTCGGCCACAGACGCCCACAGAATGCCCGCAGCTCAGTCCATTAGATGCATATTGCACATTAAAACGGAAAGCTCTTTCTCAATTATGCAAACTCTAATCTGACTGGATGACTAAGTATGAACACTTAAAAAACAATAAAAAAAAAACAATCAGTCTACATTTCATTTCACCCCAAAGTCAAAAGAAGAAAAAAAGGAAAGTTAAAAGAAAATATATTATAATTACACACAATATTTTATATATTATATTTTGCATTGTCATTAACAATGAATTTTTTTCCTAATAAAATTGTCATTACTGTATTTACCTTTTTTTACTTACTGAGTTTCTATTGTTCTCAATTATGAGTCTCATTACTGTAATACAATTATTTTTGTTTTCATTCAATTAAATTACAGAAAGTACAACAAAAACCACCATAGAGTGAAAATGTAAACATAAAAACATATATACATATTTTATAAACACAATTGTGGCATTTTCTTTCTGAATTCTCTCTTTTTTTCTAGAATGAGATTTCTGGTATTGTAGACAATTCAGAAGGGAAATGCCAAAATTGTGGGTCTTGATTCAAATAATATTAATGATATAGGATTTGTTTTCTTTAAGTAAAATATGCATTTTTTTTATATCTGTATTTTGGGGTTAAATATGACCTAAGACAAACAGAAAAAGGCAAACAAATCCAATAAGTTGATAAATATGGGTGCAAGATCCAAAAAAATTTGCAAAATAATATCAGGAATTGCTCATGTTGGAGCTGGATGTTGGAGAACATGAACACATTACTGTATTGTGCAGCTTTTTTTTTTTTTGTGGTGAAATATGACCCAGACATGTTTGTGACAGGTTTGAGTGTGAGAGTCACCCAAATGGTATTAAAAGGAAAGGAGAAAAAGCCGATAAGGAAAATGATTAAAACTGTAGGAAGAATAAAAGCAAGAGTATATTACACTCAAGTCTCCCTTTAACCTTCACTGAGTATGGCCCTGATGAGTCAATGACATAGCCAGAATTACCCATAGTACTGTGCAAGCAAAACACAGCCCAGCAGTGTGGCCCACAAAGCTCTCTTTCTCATTTATGCACCGAATACACTATCAATGTCTATTCTGTGTCTCAGAGGAGCAGGACAGCCCTCTTCAGTTATTTCATATCCCCAAACAGAACCTGCACCACCTCCTGATCATTACTGTAGAGGCAGCAGCACTCAGTTAATAGTCAATATGTGTCAAAGTTACCCCTTTTAATGAGGTCAGCTGGGTTTATTTTGAGCACATATATGTATGTCTATAAATTTAGCACACTGCCTTGGTGTAAAGACTTCTTCGATTCACATTCAGCAAACTTTTGGCCCTGGGGTTCGCAAGTACTGGTATAATTTTCGTTTGACTCCTGTATCTCCTCTCAGACAAACAAACAAACAATAAAATCTCTTGTATGCGACACACCAATCAGCGGCGGAGAGGTACGGCGTGGCCCTTCATCAGACGTAAAAGAAAGACAAATGGCTGAAGGTAAGGCGTTTGCTCTTTCGTTTTGATATAGCATGGAGCCGTTGACATTTTAATTTGTCCCTTTTAAGCTATAGAGTCGGTGTTAATATGCCAAACAGTGGTCGTCTCTGATATATGCCAGGCCATGGTCAATTTATCCCGAATTCCAGTCATGGACAATGCTCTTATATTTTCTTTGATTTTGTGTGTGTGTACATTATGTGTGCCATGACGTACATAAATGTAATCTCATAATGAGCTATGGGTCTGCACGCAGCACCGATTCAATAATAAGCCATAAATCATTCCAGCCAGTTATGACACTCCATAAAGCCTATGAAACACACAAAGGCAAAAGTGTGTGTGAGCATAAATACTTGCAGCCCTTGTGCTAACCTGTTATTTTAACATGAGAGAAGGTCAAAAACCCTTCACATCTGCACATCTCCAGTTTAAACCGATAGGGATGCTGGCACACTGCTGCATTTATCTGGGTTTACACAGGGGTATCTCTGGCGCTGGAAAGAGTCCCATTGGGCTGTTTGGATGGAGGTGTGGGGGCAATTACATCCCCAACCCCTCAGGTCTCTTTCATTTACTGCAAGACTGGCTCCTTTAATACGGTGCGACTGGAAATCGCCGGATGAGGGCCTCTCTCACACTGCGTGCTATTGTGAAACGTCTTTAGATAATCAGACCACCGATAAACCCATATCATGAGGAAAATTACACCATTGCTAGATTAAAGGGAGTTTTTTCCTCCCCCCGATACTTCTAATATTGTAATTAGACTACTTAATTTCAATTATAGATTTATTCGAGTGGTTTTGTAATTGAAAAAGCATAAAATGCCCACAATGCACCTCTTTTAAAGGAGTGCACACACATGGGTGCACTATTACGCGCTCTCAAAAAGACAACAGATGTGAACGCTTGAATATACTTTATACTTGTAGCATTTGTTGTGTTGCTGTTCTGGCAATAAACCTAGGGGCTCTAAAGTTACCGTTAAATGTTCGCTCGACAAAAAGCCAATAGGATTTTTCCATTGTCTTCTGAAATATTGCAGGAAATAAGCTCTGTTATCAATAAGAGTGTATTATTCTTACACGTTTTGTTCATTAATATAATCTTCACAAATGAATGCAACGTTAAAGTAACAACAGGGAACTTTTGCTCTCGGGGTGGGGTCCCCCTACAGTTGGGAAACAGTATTGTCTTCTACTACTGTCATAAACTCTGTCATCCTACATGCACGTGCGATTGTTGACAACCATGATAGCCCTGAACACTGTAGGAGGAGGTCACATGCAGGTGTTCTGCTTGCGTCGCGTGTGAAATGTCTTCATCCCAGGTACAGTGGCATATATTTCAGCATGTCATATGAATATAATTTCATGGGTTTTATTTTTTTTCTAACGACAAATGATCGCGATGATCACGTTTAAAAGCCAGCGTCATTATAGTAGCCTAGTCTATTGGTTACCGTTTTACTGAATCTATATGATACTTCAATGCAATGTTTGAGTGGTTGATAATAACCATATATCGTCAATATTATAATATCAAGCTACCATAAATGAATCTGCAAATTTTACAAATCGATTTGCATTATAGCTTGAGGCAAGACAAATAAACAAATATCACAGACATGTTAGGTATCCTAAAATATGATTTTGTACATCTTATATATTTACTTGCAAGAATGTAGCCCCTACCAAACTTGTGCACGCCGTTTAGACACAGGCTTTCATTTGATTTTTTTTTTTTTTTTTGCCAAGTCCGCATCGGTCGTGCACCCCTCCTCCTTCAGCTCACGCCAGCGAGAAAATGCTGGCCCAATGTTGAACCTCGTTCTGCCTTTAACGCGATCACTTTCTCTTTTTCTCTTTTTGCTTTGCTCCGATAAAACCTTTGCTTTCTTGTTTTTCTGTGCTGCTTCGGCCATGACTATAACATTTGGCTCGCACGTCCGATTTTAAGGAAGTGGGGGTGGTGGTGGAAGTGACGTATATGCCGTAAAGCAGTCGAATTTTGTAGTTCTCTTTGTTCGCCGGTTACTACCCGAAACCCGAAGTTTAAAAGTACGATTAAAAACGCTACAGACCCCGTCCGGCTATGGCAGACGTGTCACTCAACCTATTGTAAGTCGATGTACCATCACAAGAGACTTGGAAATATATTATGAAGGTTGAAAAGTAACCTAGTGCTGCTTTAATGAGTTTTTAAAACACAAATACAATCACAAATAAAAAGCTAAAGTTAGACTATAGCATAAACAAACTACACCACGGTAGCAATTTCTTCAATGTCACCACCACTAAGCTTCCGACAACTCTTTCAAACTTTCAAAGATTTAAAAACTGCAAGTTGGAAAGTTTGAGTTGAAATAGTTTGCAAGAGTGTGAGTACCGGTATAAACACAACAAGGCTGCAAAAGTGGACCAGTGAGTATGAATTTTCCTGTTCAGCATGATGACGTTTAATGTCCCAAACAACCTCTGTAGTCACATTTAGCCACTTGCTAGCAACCACCTTTTTCAAGAAACGTAAAAGCTGGTGATGTATTTTATGTTGTAGAATAAAACGTGAAAATATCTTGAGCTTGTGTTACCCACAGTCAGACTCTATTTCTGGCACTCTATTAGACACTCTAACAAACTTGGTAGGGTTGAGATAGCTAGTTATAAAATATTGTCAGTTTAACTAAATTTAACAGTAGTAGACAGTAGACCAAGAAGAAAAAGAAAAACACCACAGAACAATACAGTTTGTATTAATGCCTGTTATTGCTCCCCCTTGTGGCAACACTGAGAATACAGTGCACATTTGTGTTGCATTTTGATTTGCAGTTGACACATTTTGGAATGGAATGACGCATGTAATTGTCATTCACGTACTTGCGTAAAGTATGTTTTGAGCCAGAGATTTTTATTGATCAGACACACATGGAATGAAGTCAAACATTTCCAAACATCACTCAATATATTTTATCAAACTTGAAAACTACTTTGCATTTTAATCTTATTGGCCGTGTTTGTCTCAACATGCTGCCAAGGACCAAATTCATTGGCTGAGAGAGCTGTCAATCAATCAATATTACGTTTCCCACGTCCTTCATGCACGCGCCGCCTGTACGGATTGAACGAGGTGGGAAAAACGACTCCTGGATTACACAATTAAATTTCCCGTGCACGGCTAGCGCCTCAGCCTCGCGTCTGCATCTCTAATTTAGCTTTGGCTACCCAGTGCTAGTTAAGAGCCCGAGGGAGAGAGAGAGAGACCGAGGGAAGACGGAAGATATTGAGATTTAAGGATAGAGTGAGTAAGAAAAGGGCAGATGGAAAACACCCCAGGCTTAGATGAAGAGAGAAATAGAATTAGCGATATATGTCGAGAGAAGGCTGTGAAAAGCTAGAGTAGTAGAGAAATGAGAGCCAGGGAGGGAGTCTTACGGGGAAGAGAGAAGCCCGACTTCCCTGGAAGAGGTTAAAAGCAGGCAGTCGGCGGCCCTCATCATTCATTCTCCTGAATGGGATTTGAGGACAATAAACCTGTAGCACCCGGACGAATGGAGACGGAGTGCGCTGTCAGCAGCGCACGATTTATGGTGCCCAATTCCGCTGATCTCCCGCACAGAAACTCGGACTGATAAACAGTGATTAATCACCTTTACATCCGATTTCAGCGCCGCCCCTCCCCCAACAAAGTACATTAAATGCAGTCATAATTATTTCGCGTGAAGGGGGGGCATTCCGGACTGTTCCTTATTTAGTAAGCGAAATCTATATCTTATTTCCATTTTGTATCCTCTCCACCGGTCGCCCTCTGGGGAACAGAGGAGGCATATGGTGTCGTTTAGGCTTGGCGAACTTTAGAGGCATGTTAAGACGACTTGAAAAATTAGCATCCAATAAATCAAGCAACACCGGCTCCCCAAGCTAGGTTGCTGAAGTGCAGGTGTTGTGCCGAATTTCGACCCCCGCCAAATTATTACCCCCCTAGCATTGGTAGGTTTAGGATTAGTTGTGGGGGAGGGGTTAGGATTAGGGGTGGGGTAAGGGATAGGCAATCAGGTACTGACTTCAACGAGGGGGGTAATAATTTGGCAGGGGGTCGAAATTCGGCACAATACCGGACCACGATAAATCTGGCTTGATGGGATGTTTTGGGAAGGTGTATGTACGGATGGGGAGGCATGAAAGGTGTATATGTTGCGATTAGAGAAGGAATCACATGCATGTTTCAGAGCATACTTTGGGTCAAAGCATGCATAAATATTTTACGTGCATCGGATTGCTTAGCATATTTGCATTTTTATGCGCTCTACATATGCACATTGTGCGTATTCGATCGAGAGGAATCGTGTAACGGCTGCGTTCAGTTGTGCGTTTATGCATGCCAGAACCGAGGGAGGGAGGGGGAGAGGGAGAGGAAAAAAGTCAGATAAAAATGATAAATTACTGCTTTCTGTCACCGATGGTTATTTAGAGTTTTGCTGTAAAGCTGTCCTGAAATGAACAGATTTTAGTCTAATGAGCAAAAAGGCAGGCCGTTAAAGAGCTGCTATGTGCTCAGCACTTCTTCCAAATGAAATACTGTAATACCATTTCCCCCTCATTAGGATGCAAAGGGCTCAAAGAACCAACGGCAATAAAGAAATCAAAGATCGAGAGGGAAAACAACAGCACAAAGAAAGACAACAAGTCAGTCAAACAAAGACGCTTCCTAATCTGTGGTTCAGAAAACAGCTCGTACCACTGTTTCATCTCAGTGGGAAATGATGGCCTGGCTGACTATTGCTTTGTCAAATGCATTGTGCACTGTGGATGATGGGAGAACTGGGCGTCGTTTTAAAATCATTTCTTAAGTGTCTCTTTGAAGCGCTTGCCTCAAAATTTGCCTCTTTGAAATCAAAGAACATCTGAAGAACACTAAATCAAAGTAAGTATCCGAGCGGGACCCTGTGACCACAACACTCAAATGCAGTTTACCTGCATAAAATTCAGGACCATAGACAGCTCCCACCACTGGATTCAGCTTCCAGCCTGTAGAGGAATACACAGGGGAAGAGAGAATTAGCTCCGAATGCTTATCGCTGTGACCTGTGGAGTGTTTGTTTCTCGATCTTTCGCCTAACTCAAAGGAAAGGGATAAAGAGGATAAGATTCGGAAGGAAGAACAAAAAGAAGGGGGAACAGGAAGGGATGTGAAATGACAGGAAAATATTTAAGGTGACATTAAGTTGAAGGAGTTAGGGGGCGGCAATATCAGGGCATTGGGAAGAGTGCGAGCGATATAGGATGCGAAAGGGAGCGAGAGAATGAGAGACAGAGAGCAAGAGAGTAGTGAGTGCTGTCCGGTGTGCTGTCAGTGATAGATGGGGGCTGTAAAATAGCCTCCTCTCACTCCCCATTGGCTGTGGCTGAAGTAGAGCTGGGGGGGTCTACACTGCTGCTGATATATTTGATTCTTTCATTCCCCCTCTCTGTTTCTCTCTCTATTGCAGTCTGAGGAAATGAGCATCAGCGGAAGAGCTTAGGACCCCACCAAGACCCCTGTGCTGAATGAGCCAGCTCTCAGCTAAGCTCTCCCCCCGGAGCTCCTGAACAGCATAAGGAGAGCTGTAGGGGAGGAGATCACTCTTTACCTGTAATCCCTTTTTAGTGGGACACAAAGTAGACATTGCATCATTCATAGTATACATGATGGCAGCTTAAACTGCAGCCCATAAATAATTTGGGAACTTTAAACTGGATTAGATAAAGTATCAAACCAAGTGTAATTTCTTTTAAAGAACCAAAATATTTCACAAAAACATTTTTTTTCTAAATGGAAAAAATTATAATTCATTTTATATGATCATTTATAAACATAAATAAATATAGAATTGGATTTTAAATTATATATATATAAAAAAAGAAAGAGATATACTGTCCAAAATTCAGATTAAGTATTTGGATACATGGTTGTGAAAAATTAAACATGTTCATAGTAATTGATCATAGTTAAATATCAAAGTGGGATTTTAAAGAACACACAACACTATATATATATTAATTTTACAAAACACAAAAACTAGGTTTTAAATGTATTATAAACATAAAAAAATGTGTACAAAAAGAAATGATTTATATAGGATATACTCTTAAAAATTTGTGTTAATCTTCAAGGCTTTATGGTCATGACAATTTTCATTGTTATAGTTATAGTTCATAGTTAAATTTGTGATGAAGGATATCATTTGAGGAGAACTGACTTTATAGGACTAGTTGGTTAAAATAAATTGCAACATGATCCAAAAATCTGACAAAAGCATCTTTTTTTTGGCAGTTTTTTTTGTTGTTGTCCATATGCTTTTTGTTTTGACATATTGTTATCTAATGCAATGAAATGCACACATTTTAAGTGTAGAATTACATTTTGGTCTGAATGCGTTTAATGTAATTTAAAGTTAAAAAAAAAGAAAAAAAAGCTCTTACCGTTTGTATAGGGGTTGGCCACTTTTTTGTTTGTCATTACTCTTGCCGTTGCATTATTTACCTGTGATAAAGAAAGCAGATATGAGAAGCAAAACCCAAATCAGAACACAAAGAATACATGTGTATGTGCCACAGGCATGAGTGTGACAAAAAATCTGGTTCATGCTTCTCCGCAAAAAAATAAATAAAGAAGCTACATTCACATGCTAATCAGTTGAAAAATTATGAGATGCTAAAATGAAAGCGATCCATCAAGCTCTGATCTTCTGTTTTCCTGCTGGATGTAGGATCTAATCCAGGCTGTTTGTAGAAGAACTGGATGATGACATCTGGTTCAACATGTAATGAAACATAGCTACTCTGGAAATGGGCTTTAATGAAACCCAGAGTATATTGGAATTCCCCACTAGCCAAGCTATGGGAGCTTCCTTGAGGCTTTCTCTGAAATTTCATCTGCCACATTGTCTAGACAGTTCTACATATTCTCAGACACTACAACCCTGAGGCGGTGACTTCATGAGCACTAAATTTAACCTCAGGAAGGAGGAGCCATATTGTACAAGGTCTTCTGGTTATGCGTAACACCAGAAAATTAATAAAATCTTAAAGCTTAAAATGGTGGCTGGGTTATTTATCCTAGAACGCACATTCACTTTAAATGAACCAACCCAATATATATATATATATATATATATATTGCAGGATTTGAGTTTAAAAAGCAACATGAAACCATAGTTGTCAGAGTTTATTATAATATTGATATATAATCTTGAGCTTGCGGCCTTTCCCCATTCAAGTAAATAGGAGCTGTATGTGCATGCCTGTTGCCTACACAGAAAATAGCTGTTCGGGGACATTACCAAGATGGCTGCCGAGTGAACCAACTTGCCTTAAAGGGACTTTAGTAACACACAGAGAGGCCAAGCAGCTTGTTGGGAGGCGCCAAAGGAATTTAAACATGGCCGCTGGCAACAGAAGCCATGTTAGTATTTCACCCTCATGTTAATTAGCGTTAATAGCTTTCCGTTCCACAGGGCCCATGGAGGTCATTTAGCTTGAGGAAACAACTGGCCTCGACTCTCCCTTGATATATAGGTCTATGTATTGTTTGTGCATTACATGAATTATCTTAATTGTCCTATAGAAAATCTTAATAGCCCCGTGGAGAAGAGGGGGAAAAAAAGAGAGAGAAGTCTGTGTCCTCAAGTAAGACATACGAATGGATAACTAAACCTCGGATGTTTGGGATAAACAAGTGGGATTTTAAGTTTTTTTTTTTTTACCGGTTAACACACATTGTAAGTGATAATAAAAAGTTCAAAAGCTTTTTTTTTTTTTAATACAGCTGCACATACACATCAAAGCAGAAATGATCAAATCTGATGGCATGCACATCAAATACAATAATTATTACATGTCACAAGTGATATTCATCCATAAAATCAAAAAGACACATAAAACGTGCAGCATGCAGACAGCAAGTGAGCGGTAGGGATGCAATGCGATGAATTGAGACGCTGCATGCATGTTTCATCAAACCGACAGTGCTTATGTTCTCATGGGATGGGGATGATGGGGTATTGATAGTTAGATTAGGAAAGCACCTCAATTTTGCGTCCCTCTACGATTGTACCATTTAATTTCTCCCGTGCGCGGTCTGCGTCTGCGCTTGTTTCAAAAGTTACGAAACCAAAACCCTGAGATGATGTGATCATAAAGGATTCCCAATAAAGGATGAAGGGGATGATTAAAGATATTTGAATGGGCAACAAATAAAGTGAGCGAGAAAAGAAGAAAGAGAAAGAAAGAAAGACAGAAAGAAAGAAAGAAAGAAAGAAAGAAAAAGAAAGAGAGAAAGGTCACAGTCAGCAGGGTTGCAAATTCTACCCATTAGTAAGAAGTGAGATTAGGACTTAAGGGTGAAAGCTACTGGAAAAGAGACATTGAGAGACAAAGCATTCTGGGATTATATTCAACAGTGACGAATTCTGCATTTGGTAATACTGAAACATTTGGCGTGTATGCATGTGTACATTATAGTGAAGTCTTTCCAAGCATATCAGTAAGTATCAAACTGTCATTCTTTATAAACACAGATATTGTCCTTGTCTTTAAATGATATAAACAATGTACGGAATATTTCCAAGGCCACATAGAAGCTCAGAAGTTAATGCACACAGTCCTGCGCTCTAGCTGGGAAGTGCCTGCTCTGTCCCCGCACCCCCACCTCTGCTGTCAGCAGTGAGTTATGGCCAACTGCTTCCCAAACGCCATATCCGGAACAGCTATTAGGTATGCACTGCAAACAAGAGTGTGGAACAAGCCCTGGTCTTTTAGTTCATACACACTATGCAAGTACGGCCTGGTAATTGCTTTGGGAGGCCTGTGAGTATGATATGCATACATGGACACTCCATTCCTTGTGTCTGGCATGAATAAAGACCAGCCCAGGAGTCCTTGGCCTGCGAGGAAAAAGCAAAATCAAAAAGGAATGGGGCGCAAAATTAATCCTTTTGACATTTTGCGCTACTGTGTTCAACATAGCGCTTGTAGTTTTCCCCTTTTATCACGGATTTAATTAGCTTACACAGCTAGAAAGCTGAGCCACTATCTTTTGAATAACACAAGCATACAGTGCGTGCTGTTCCAAAACCTAGTGAGCTGCCTACAGAGGCAGTATTTTAAGGGATCATAGGCACAGAGGCTGTTCCAAAAGGTAAAGGCAACTCAATTATGCAGCTTGCTAAGATACCTTGTTTCTGCATATAAATATATTATATATAAATAATAAATATATATCTAAAAATCTGAACATGTAATATAATATAACATACATTATATAATAGCAGTGTTGATAATAAATTCATATATCAACACTGCCATTATATATATATATATATATATATATATATATACTCTATATATATAGTATATGTAACCGGTCCGACTCAACCTGCTCCGAGTGGGATTCGAACTATGGTGTCTGGCATTGGAGGCGGGCGCTTTAACAAGAGGCTAAAAACCACAGCCCACTCCAGAGACTACGGTTCGAATCCCACTCGGGATGGGAGTGAGGTTTAGGGGGGGTGAGTGTAACTTTCATAGGCCAGTATGAGGTATTCAAAAGTAGAAAACAGGCTATTTCTGAACGATCGGCTAATCTAATAATGTGCATTGCTTAGGTTGAGCACACTGTGACGGTTTGTTCGAGCAGATTCACCCCTGTGAATCAACTAGGAGGAGGTGAGAGAAGTTCTCCTCAGCAAAATGTCACCCTCCTTTGAGACCAACATTGCTATATGGAAGAATGGCTATATATAACCCGTTTCCAGCGCAAGACTGGAGACTTAAACAGCTGAATCTTATTACAGCAGGACAGCTCTAAGAGCAGAATCACTGCGTGTTGGTCAGACGCTCACTTTATTAAATTATAACTGGGCGAGTTAACTTGTACTCAGCTGAAACCACTCAGTTGTCTCTCTGAGTAGCTACCTTTCCAAAACGTGTCTCGGCTCAGTGTGAGCGAGTGTGTGAGTGTGACGTTTGAGTCACTTTGCGGCTGCTGTGTAAGAGCTGTAATTATTCGGCTCATGAAGGGAAGAGGAGACCTGTAGGGAGGAAGAAGTATGAAGTGACAAAGAACTGCTCTTCCAGTTGACTTACCTTAGAGCCCCGCTCGTTAAAAATAATTTCCACATCCAAAATTTTCCCAAATTGCTGTGGAGAGAAAAGGAGATGGGTAGAAAAAAAAATTAAAGAGGAGAGACAGGGGAGAAAGAAAGAAAGGAAGACAGAAAGGGAGAGAGAAGGAGTAATTAGAACTCATCTCTTCTGCAGTTTGTCAGGAAACTTGAGCAATTGATTGCACAGGGAGCTAAAATAGTAAACCCACCATTTTCACTGGAGCTAAGAACACGCAAGACAAACCTTCACACATCACTTTTGCTATCAAATGATACTGACAAACACAACGGATCAGTAATGGGTTACTTTAAAAGTAACGCATAACAATGTAACTCAATATAAGACTAATTGCATTGTTTTTTTAATATAGAAAGTGAAGCATAAAGTTTATTTTGCTACTTTCTCTAACTGTTAACTGACTAAAATTATGTTTGGGGTGGAATGCTAATTTAGTAGTTAAACACTGCAAAGTATATACTGTGCTTTTTTTTTTTTTTTTACATTAAGTGAAACAGTAGACATCATCTTACAATAAACAAATTAAAAACTATATACAACAATTAGTTCCAGGCTGTATATTTGTAGTGGGGATTTTTCAGTGACTCGTTCTGCAGGTTAAATTGTTATACAAGAAGGTGGTGAGTGAGTCAATGAATTATTCATTCATCCGATTAGTTCAAAACACTGATTCATTTAGAAAAAAGTGACTGGCTGCGTCCGAAATCTCACACTTTCTAAGTACGTAATTCTTTTAGACAAGCAATTACTCATATAGTACTAATGTGTGTAGTATGAATGTAATCCGGATGTACCACATTTGCCATCTTGTCATTATCATGTGTATTTTTTACTTACTGTTTTATAAAGATTGTGAATTTGGACATACAATTTTAGTATTTCACATACTATTTTTTTGCCTAAAAGTATGTGAAAGAGGTAGTCAATGAATCATTTACTCATTCGATTTGTTCAAAACACAAATTAATTTAGTGTGACTCAAAAACAACTGACTTCTGAACCACATGCTACTATTACTATGTTTCTTCAGCATGTCTTTATGAGTGAGTCCGTTAATCATTTACATTGATTTGTTCAAAAACACTAATTCATTCAGGAATTAAACAAGTGACTGTCTTTATGAGTGAGTCAATGAATCATTCACTAATTTGATTTGTTCAAAACACTGATTGATTCAGAAACAAAACAAGTTACTAGGTGTGTTCGCTTAAAGTCAAACACACCTATTGTCTTTATGAGCCAATGAATCATTCACTAATTTGATTAATTCAAAACACTGATTGATTCAGGAAAAAAAGACAAGTTACTGTTTTTTGTGAATCACTTATTAATCATGCACTCCACCGATTAATTCAGAAAATATTAACTTTACATGACACACAACATTGCTTGCACAACTATTTGCTCCTCTATCACTCTATCAATTATAAAAAGAAACGTTTTTGAAAAAGTAACTCGGGTCCTATGATGTAAATTTAATTGAAGGCTTTTATTTGTAGCTGCCTAACCAATTGTGCAACATGAAGCTCTCGGCTGGGTCGGGACTCTGGGAACGAGCAGGACATACTGCTGATGGGAGCAAACTTCAAAAGATCACAGAAGCACCCTGCTGTGTATGCACCAGTGCTCTTAATGACACGATATGGCTTGTTATTTTCTGTGGTGTTTTTGACTGATAAAAGCTGGCCGAAGCCATAGTAGAGGGTATTTCTGGCTTGACTTAACACCAAACACCCGACTCAATTAAAAAAAGGATAATTGGATATAGAGCAGCCATCATCGCTGATGATAAACCATATATTTGTTTATTATCTCATTGACGAATACCATCCTCGTAATTACCTGTCACTTCGGTTATTATTTTCCAGCTATTTGCGCTCCGTTCTGTGGTTTTATCTGATTGTCATTCTCACGGCCCTCTGAAACGCCCAATCTCTCATTTTTATTCTCTAATTAGCATTTGCCATGAGGCTCTGACCACTCCCTCCGAGATATGGCTTTGTCTGGAAGATTCTTTCAGCCGCTGAATGCAGCAGATTTGCAAACTGGCCGCCAAGGAAAGAAGCCCAAACTTTCTTGGTCTTCGACTGAACGTCGCACCCTGTGGCCAAAAGGTGAACCCTTAAGAGGCAGCAGCCTGATTAGGGGTGATAAACACCACTCTCGCTGCCTGTAACGCAGAGCGCTACAATGTTAACCTCTCTCGCCTTATGCTAATCGGGATCCTGGTTAGGGAGCTCCACAACGAGGCCTTGAATCAAGCAGGTTTATTTCAATAAATAAATAAACATGCCAACGCAAGGTCACCGGTGCTTTAGCCGGAGGAGGAGACAGCTTCTTAAAGAAGTAATTTGGAACAAGCTTAAATAATTGGTTAGATGGAAGCAGGAGACACAGGAGGCTCCAGGGTGGACTGCTATAAATGTGCCGGGAAGCATGACTGTTTATATGAAAGAGTAGGACAGCAATTAAGAGCAATCGCACAAAATGACACGTGTGATAAAGGTTCTGTTTGCATTTCTCTCTTCCACTTTGGCGGTCGCCGGAGAGGAATGACGGCCGGCCCGGCTCTCCCCGGAGGGTTAACGGCGCTTAAGCGTTCCATTTAACATGGCCGGCTTTGGAGATCATTACGGAACGTGGAGGAATGAAAGCAAAACCTTAAGTTCCCCTAATGGGCGGAATGAAAGCAGGTTTTAATTGCTGTCTAAAATGGCTGTATTATTTCATTAAAACTAATTACCCTGTCAAGCAGGCCGCATTGGCTTCATTTCAGCACAACAGGGGAGAAATGGGCCTTCCAGGCACCTACGGCTCAATGGGATTGATCGAGGGCCCAGGTCACTAATAAGGTTAAGAAGAGCCGCCTTTCATCCGCCCAGCCGTGGGGAAAACCCGAGGCGGACTGTATATGTGCATGTTTGCGGTGAGGAGGAGGCTGTGCGCGCTGCTCTGATCTCACGCGGGGGAAGAAAAGTGATGCCTCGCAGTTCATTTTGGCCGGCTGTTGCTTGATCTACCGCGCTTGTTTTTCCAGCCCAATTCAAATTCCACAGACAAACCCAAACAGCTGCTACTTGACACGATTTCCTCCATTTGTTCAAATTAAGATGCTTTTTTCCACTCCGCCAGAGTCAGATTCAAACACTGGCATTTGCATCTCAGCATGAACCTGCTCACGACCGCAGACAATTCACTCTAAACAAAGTCTGCGGACGCTAATGGTTTTAACCCACCCTAATGGGCTTATGGTATAGCTGAAATATTTCCCAGGGTAGTCATCTCTGGGAAAACTGAACTAATCACACCTAGTCACCATAGGCCCCATCATCACCATTGCCATGCAGCAGAGCTTTAATAAGAGTGTAGGCCTACATGAAATTAGGATCAATGGGAGACCGCAGTGTGAGACTGCTGGTGGTCCACACACTTGATAGGTTGGGAAAACGCTTCACGAGAGTCGTTTGAAGCTAGTCACAGACGCTGTGCAAACGGAGAGAGAGTAGTTAAAAAAGCGAGTCAGTAGTGTGACATTAAGTTAGTTTTGTTTGGAAATCAAGCAGGTATTCATTATAAACCCATTACAAAACCATATGGGGTTTCTACTCTTGTTTGAGATTCTAGGTAAACCTCTGCCTTCCCTTGGGTGATCAACATTTTAGAAGATTCAAATACCAAGGGGAATGACGGTCTATTAATCCAGAATAACAAGGCACCTGTTTTAATCTAACACTAACTTTCTCAAGTGGTGGGGGGACATTTTTATTACTAGTATATACATACAGTATGCAGCATGCACTGATCTGTAGGATTGCTCAGATCATTGCAGTAATACGAGTATTATGGGAGGAGTTGGACAATTTTGCAGCCTCAGTGTGGAATCGTCATGGTGGTGCTTTAAAACTAATTTCATACACTAGCATTAAATCCACATACTCATCTGTATAATTGCTTTGGATGTCTTTTTCTAATTATAAAATGAGGCTCAAATAAGGTTGGGTAATGGAGCTTTTTAATCGTCGCTCTTTGTTTGACTATGGTCCAAGCAAGTGTACTCGAATGAGGAAAAAGGCTCGTAAAATTGCAGTTTTCATTATCAGCTATTCTAAATTGAATTTCCATCTTACTAAATTGAGAAATCAGAAATGGTTTAGAAAGCTGTCTTGGAGTCAAACATTTTTTCTACAGTATTCCAAATTCCAGACTTAACATTGAAAGATAAAGAGGCTTCATTTAAAATCTATATAATAAAGAGAACTGAGTCTGAGAAAAGTGATTATATGGTGTAAAAGTGTTGCGGTCAGTAAGATTTTTTTTAAATGTTTATGAAAGAGGTGTCTTATGTACGGAGCACCTAAAGGGACATGGTGATGCAAAAATATATGAAATGGAAGGAAAAAATTCATTTCAATGCTTGCGCGTTCACTGGCAAAAGTTTTGCGTTCCATCGCAAAATGGAATATTTGCGTTTGCTTGCAGAACTTTCTGCATTTTCCATCGAGAAAATGTTTGTGTTCTTTGTGAGTGAACGCAAAGTTCCTCGGGGGAACACAAACATTTTGCGAGTGTCGCATGTTCTTTCAGAAATCATTCTAATATGCGGATAAGCTGATCAAGAAAATTCTTCTTATAATAAATGTTGAAAACAGTTGTGCTGCTTAATATTTTGTGGAAACCTTTTATTCAGGATTCTTTGATGAATTTGAAAGAAAATAAAAGTATTAACTTTATGTATGGGGAAATGGGAGTCTGGACAGCATTTTGCAGAAGCCAAAGATTTATGGGTAGCCAGTAAATCCAGAGTAAGTGCTTAAAGAGTTTTAAACCATCAGTAGATGGTGATCTTCTCTCCTTGTGCTTCTGTCACTTCTCACCGTTCTCAGACTTGCCTTTTCTCAAATTTTTTGGGGACTTTAGAGGGGCACAGCGCTTGTCCATCCCATCCTCTCCCACTAGTCTATCTATGGCATGGGATAATTGCACCCCTGGGTCCCTGAGAGACTTCACAGCAAGTTGCAGAAGTCTCTTCAGACAAACATACACACACTTGGTCACACATATGCCTGTTTTCACATCGGAGCTGTCAGCCAACACAAACCTAATGAGGATAAACTTCTAGTTTTTAACCACAGTGAGGAGCGCTATTAATTACGTCTCCACTGGTGGGACCAATGCTTGGCTCCCTGTTCATCACATCAACACTGGGCAGGATGGGAGAGAAGCAGAGAGGAGAGGACAGCCTCTCTTAGAGACAACAAAGAGTGTGAGGAACAGATGTTCTCAAGACTCAGCAGTCAGGCTGTACCCAGAGTCCTCCACCAGTTTAAGTGTTACTGTTTGCTATACAGTGCCCTTTGTAAACACAGACTCTGGTTTTTAACAAGCTGGGACCAACAATGTTTTTTTCTCCTCTGTACGCTGCCTGTAGCCTCCAGTAACAAGCTGCCAGTGTTTAACGCCGCTCCCTAGCTGGCTGCTGTTAATTCAAAGGTATGCTGGAGTTTAACTGTAAGAGTCCTTGAGCCTTATAGAGATTGCTGGTTAAAGAAAGCTCCAAGTCGTTCATTAGTTTTGCGTTTTATTCTAGCCGAGAGTGCTTACATCTAAACACAGATTGAGGAGCAGTAGTTGTGGATAAAACGCTAAATAATGACCAACCATTACCAAGCCTGTAGCTGCTCTCAGTATAACAATACTTTTTGATTGAATGCCCTTGTTTAAAAAAAAAGTTTTACTGATCCCTTGTCACATACTAAATACGGAAACTAAAGCTAATATAATGCAGTTAAATCATTTAGCACTTTATCATGCTCTTTCTAGCCTTGGAGGGATAAACAGAAAGATTTGAAAAACAAGAAAAATAAAATATTTGGGCTACACGCTACCTATAGAAGTTTAGTCTTTAATTTTTTTTATCACATTAATTGTATGAAATGGCAATTAGTAAATCAAATTGATCACAATTAATCACATACATCCGTATTTGCAAAGAAAAACCTTCATATGACTAACTTTTTGACATTACATTATGTAATGTCTCCAGATCCTTGACGGAATTAAAGAAAGTCAATTATTAAACTTTTACATTTAAAACAATTCTTGCAAAAGGTTACACAGACTTTTGAGGGGTTACATAAATGCAATACAATAATTGGTCTTAGCTATATAGTAAATAAATTAAACAAAATATTTATAAAATACTACTGGCAAAATGGATAATGTGTACAGAATCTTTAACTACACATGGTCATATGAAATAAAGTCTTACAGTTAGTTCTAAGCTATACATGTTTGATTCACTAAAAATAACTGATTCATGAGACTCATTCATTTAATCAGGAATCAGACTACACTGGTTACACATGCCTTTCATTTGTAAAAAAAAAAAAAAAAAAAAAGGTCGTTCGGGAATTGGACTACACTGGCTGCAACTAGGGCTGCACGATTTGGGGAAAATGTCATATTGCGATTATTGAGGTCAATATTGCGATATGCGATAGCGATATAATAAACAAATGGTTTCATGAGTCAACTTGCTTGGTTCTAAAGCAAAATGCACACACAGATTAGTGATAATTCTGAAATGTGTATTTCTCAACTCAAACTAGCAACAACAACTAAATGATTGATAACACCTATAATGATCAATAAGCCATTGATGTCTGGATAAAAATTAATTTAATTTTAATTTAAGTGAACTTCAAACAATCCTCACATAAAGCCATAATAAATGTCATATTTACCTGTGCTCTTCCTGTCTACAGGTAGGACATATACAGAAATTGAATAAAGTTATCAAACAGTCTGCGCTGCATAAATTATAAATTATATGGACTAAAATCCTATTTAAACCTACACAAGTTCTTTGGTCAAGAGCAGTGAGTGTTTCCTTTGTTCTTTGATTAACTTTACTGACAGAAAGCATTATTGGATGCTGGCCCTTTAAGAGTTGCTGACAGAGACGCGGATCTCACACGTGCCTTATTCTCTCACAACTCTTTACGGCCATCATAAGACTGCTCTTATGTTACGAAGACACTCGACAAATGATATTTTGGCATAATTGTGTGTGTTATTGTTCGTTCACTTCAAGCGGAAAGAGAACTGTATTCTGGCGCGCGGTCTGTTCATGCGCATGATACTGGCGCGCGTCTTTCAGTCAGGACATTCACAGGCAGCGCGCTCTCTTTTGACTTGTCTTGCTGAATGGTTTAAAGCATTCGCATGAATAAGAGCGGGATCATGTAACACTAGCCAAAGGATGACAAAAAATAACAGATGCTGCATTAACAGCACTAATTTGTTTATTTCATATAAAATCGCAGTATTTTGCGTCATATAATCGCATAGGCTTGACATCGCGATTACGATTGCGATATGATTAATCGTGCTGCAACTCAAATAAAAAATGCCCTAGTTTAGTCATACTAATGCATTACTTTAGTGGAGAAAAAAAACAAACAGGCTACAACCACAATATCTAAACTGGTTTTACACTGATGCATATAAGATCAAGGTCCTTGTCAAATTAAAACAGGATTGATGATCAGGCCTTCCTGAGAGACACAACCTGCTGCCATCTGGCTGAGGCCCGAGACTCACCCCGAACATTTGCCGGAGGTCTGGGTCACGGAAGCGGAAGGGAATGTTGGAGACGTGTAACCGTTTGGGCTGCTGCTTCTCCGAAGAGTCTGAGGGCTGGAGCTGAAGCTGCTGGGAGCCGTCTGTCTGTGCCACATCGTCCACTTGCTGAAAGACACACAAGCACAGCTCTGTTAGTTCTTACCTCAAATGCTGTCACGGCCTGGAAAAAGTGCAGCGGGCAACGGTTACGGAAGGTGAGCCACTGGGTGAGCAGGGGGAGATCAGGGCATGCTGGTGGCATATTACAAATTCCCTCTGCTCTGCCAACATTTGTATGTGGCGGTGAAGATTAAGGAAGCTGTCAGGAAGTGTGGATACAGATTTAAAGAGAAAAAAACTCAGACATGGGGAGACCAGAGAATGCATTTACTGAGCAGCCGCCTATAAAGACCTGAGGGAGAACGGGAGAGGGAGAGAGAAAGTAAGCGTAAAGATGGTGTGCTCATCTGTCCATCATGTGGAGGAAATGGTAGTGACACAGCTGTGCTCAAGGATGGACTGCTGTCCGTGACACACATTTATCTTTCACCTCACAAGCCCTGATGCTCCAAGCCTTCATCCCATTCTCACTATTTATCTCGCTGTCTTCTGAGCTTCATAAGACCTCATCTGACCAGCCACAGATCAGATGCCCTGTCATGCATGGTGTGCAAAAGTAAACCTGAACCAGTTTCTACTGGAGATCAACCAATATTAACTGCCAGACATTACTGTAAAAGTCCAAGATGAGAACAAAAATGTTTTTCCTTTTTCTTTGACAATATAAAACTAAATAATCAGTACACTATATACAATGTAATATGCATCATTAATTTAATATCAACATTATTTTCAGTATTATAAATATTAATTTCATATATTTAATATTAAATAATGTTTATGATTTATAACAATCAAATATTTTCCTTTACAACTGTGCTATTTTTGCATTTTCTATGCAGATTTTAGAAGAAAATTTGTGGCGTGGATTAAACATACTATAGTTGGAAGAACAGCCGAAATGTGCTAAAATATTTAAACACAATATTCATGAAAATATCAGTCTAGTTAATCCAAACTTATTGGAGAATTTATACACTGTAAATTCAATCATACCAAATATTATGAAACGATACAGAAAGAAATGCTATGAAATAATAAATCAATATCTATAAAGACAAATATTATCTAACAAAATGCTCTTGAGGGAGGATCAGGTTAGTGCATAACTGAATTAATAATTAATCCAGATGTGATGCAATGGCTGACAGACTCCTCTGCGTTTAAAAGTTTGTCTTGTTTTTCAGCCATTCTGTTCAGACATGTTCAATGAAGGAAAAAGCATGGTGAGCGCAGCATCCGAGCGGCAGCCCTTCATGTACATAATGAATTAGAAGAACATGGGAGCACAGATGAAGAGATGATGTCAGCTAAACTTCCCTCGGCTTAGCAGGATCAATGAGAGAGAAGTGCTGAAGGCAGCTACATTTGCCTGGGCCCATAGACAGCTGTATACTAGAGCAGACTCGCGCTGTAGCGAGACAGAGAGGAAGGAAGAAAAACAAAGAAAGAAAGAAAGAACAAAAGAAAGGTTGTTGCTATGTGGTTGCTAGGGTGTTCTGCTAGGTGGTTACTTCCTGGCCTAAAACAGAGCAACCCAAAGTCTCTATGGCCACGTTCACACAACAACAGAATACGGTTGTCAGTTGTTTCTTTAATACAGTTACGTTCACACACAGTTCAGTTTATAGGAGTGACAAACGCATTCTATAACAGAACTCACACCAGTAAATTTTCATGTCTCGCAACTGTGTTAACGGTACCGGACTAGGACTGGGACTAGCTGTCTGCCACGCCATAGTGCGAGAGAGCCACTCTTCGCTGCACAAACGCGCGCAGGATTTGTGTTTGGTTTTGGTAACTTACAGGTAATGTGTCATCTGAAGGTTTTGGATCCAGTCTATAGGGACTTTAAGCAACAGCTGCTGCTGTTCTTTACCGGAGCTGTTCCCGTCAGTTTTGAGTTCTACGCACCACTCAAATGATCCGCTCACCATCGAGATATAAAGGCCTCTGTCGGTTAATGGAGATTTGACAGATGAACTTGCGGCTCTATTGGACTCTTGTTGTGTCAAAAGTGAGGGAAAGTTACTGGTAAGAGAATACGAGCTTGACTCCTGTTGCACATTCTAGAGACAGTATTCGTAATGCTACTGTAAGTTGCTGAGTGAATGGGACATTTCAGGACTCACACCAGTAAATAAATGCAGTTGTCAATCCCAAAAAACTGACAGTGTGAACGTAGCCTATTAGAAACGGATTGGGGTCCTACAGGCTGAGTCTATGGGATATTTGTGCCTTTTACATCATCTGCCAGGTGAATATTGGTCTGAAAAAAAGTCACTTAGTAAAGTAAAGCTGCATGATTTGAGGCATCATGCACAGCACAAACAAAGGGGAATATGTTAATAATAAAACCCCTAACCCTTAGTATAAACAATAGTAGCAGACTTACATTAAATACTTTTAAAAAGTCAATGAACATGGCTAAGGTTTTGGCTAAGCCCAAAACAGGACAGAAAATAGATCTACATTTTTCAAACTTGGATTTTGCCACATAAAATGAGCTCAAATGAATTCTGAATTCAGATAAGAGATAAAAAACTGATGAATAAAAACGTCCTCACGCATGATGTCTGGGGATCTTATTGAATTGGTTTGGCAATCATTTTTGGTAGTATTCAGATTTAACTATACATTTCTAAGCATGTTTTTCTTGTATTTCACGTATACACAGTTAATTATAATAAGTGGGCAGGACAAATTCCCCCTCATTAAGCACAAAACACACAAGAGATATGAATCATAGAAGACAGCAATATATCATGTATTAGGTAATGAAGATATAATGAGATATCTATCACTCCATCCATTTTCGCTCGCACCCTGACAGAGAAAAATAGAGGAAAAAGGCGAAGTAAATGCAATTATGTAGACATAGCTAAGAACATAATACTAACTCAAATGCAAAAGATTTGGACCTGCAAGGTGTTCATTTTTCCACTCATTACCGAGAGAAGGTGAAAAATGGCATGATAAAACATCAGCTGAAATGAGATTTTAAAGTTTAACTCGCTGAAGAATATCATTATTGCAGAGCACATATTTACAGGGGAAATTACACTAGTAACATGACAGAAGCAACTTTACAATTCTATGGGTCTTGCAGATTTATCTTTTTCGCTATTAACAGATTTTTTTTTTTAACAAGTAGACAAACATCTTTACATCTTATATGCGTATCTAATATTTGTTCAAGCAACCTTACTGAAAGAAAAAAATATTAATTTTAACCTTACAGTGGCTACAAGATGACTAGCTCTACCAAAGGCAATTTTTAAGGGAAAACAAACACAAAGCTAAGAGTAAAACTTTTCCCGTTACAGGACGACGCTCCAAACAAATTAATGTATCATATGCACAATCACAGAGCCACACAGCAAGGCTGGATTATGGTGGTCCAACACAAACTATTGCCTAAAACTAAACTAAAATAAAGACACAGGAGCTGTCATTGTGGCTTAAAGATATAGTTCACACAAAATTAAAATTGTCATCATTTAATCACCCTTAAGTCCAAGTTCCAAACCTGTTTGATATTCTTCTGCAGGAAAATGTTGTTTTGAAAAAGGTCTCAGTCCATACAATGTCTTTTTTTTTCTCATGTCCACTGTTGCTTTAGACCCCATTGATTTTCATTGTATGGACAAAAACAATTAAAATATAGTTCAACATATCTTCTTTTGTGCTTTGAAAAAGAAAGAGAGTCATACAGGTTTGTAATGACATGAGGGCGAGTAAATGATGACTTTAAATTGGCCAGACTGAACTTTTCTCCCTTATTAATGAACATTTATTTTCTATTTAAATGTAGTTCCATTAGCCAGTCAACTAGTCCCGGTGCTCCCTATGAATGATGTGCTCAAATATTGCCAAACATACACCCTACTACAAGTCACATGGTCAGTCAGTATTATTTGGGAATGATGAACGGAACAGGACTGGACTAGTTGTCTGCCAAGTCATACAGTGCGAGTGAGCTACTCTGAGCTGCACAAACGCGTGTTTACCGAGTGTTGAATGGTCATAATAGTGTGACCATTCACATGGTCAGTCTTATTTGGGAATGATGAAGGTAAGTTTGAACTCTTGCTACAGGTTATACAGCATAACAACAGCAAAACCTCTGAACCATTAAATGTCGAGGGTCACCAACTTCAGGTTTTTCCATCTGACAACTTCCTCATCTTCTCTAATGCACAGACTCTCCCAATGGGCTCTCCAGGGTCTCCGTGAGAGGACACCGTGTTTACCAGCACATTGGCACTATCAATCATCGCAGCTATTTAGACAGTCAAGCCCTGTTAAGATAAAGCACACGGGTCGGCTCTGGATCCACACAGCCTGTCGTCCTGCCCCTTGTGTATGCAGCCTGAGGTCGGCGAGCAGCGGAGGCCTGTAGCCCCTGCCTGATGGTGGTAGATGGAAAGCCGAGCAGATGGATGGGCAAGCGGAGGTGCAATTACCCCCTGGTGCCCCCGCTCCCTGGGCTGCACCTCTTCCCGCTCCCTCATCCTCATCCATCACGCCGGTGCCATCGGTCATTCACATGCTCTGTCTGCAGTCGCTCTGGAGAGAGCCGAGCTATCTATCATGTCTAACAGGTGAGCGGTGCGAAGGCGCGGACTCGCCCATTACCGACCGGCGGAGCGTGGCCTCTGAGAGCCTCCGATTCCTCGCTCTGCCCAACCAAGTGCTGGAGAGAAGGATGAGGGCTTTGATTTGCTTACTTTATGGGAACAAGTATTGACAAGGTCTTCTCAGATGCAAGTCATCATGTAGCAATGCGGAGCAGCGAGTAACAGAGTGATAAAAATGAAGAGAAATCGCGGGGCTTCGCATTCATCTTGCACGCTTTGGTTAAAAAGAGGACAATTGTTTTGCCATAACAAGTGCTTTGTAAAACACACAGTCCGGCTTGCTCACTCCCGACTATAATGATATAATCTCTCTGGCTTTATTCGGAGCACTTCTCCTGCTCTTGAGCATGGCAGCTTGGAGTGCTC